CTGGTGCGAATAACAGACAATGGTAAGCAAAAATTCATTCACTTATTAGCATAAATAAACAAAAAAAAACCTAGTAGCAGCAAAAGTAGGTCACCTTTTTCAGCCTCTAGGAAAAGGAAATTAAATAAGGGATCGCGGCAGCAAAAAGAAAAACAGGGAAAAAAAGAATGGGAGAAAAACGTCGCCTCATCACTCGGCGATTAGCTGATTATGCGTGGGTCCTAGAACGAATAATTGCAATCTGTATTGTCTCGACATTTGTCTAACGTGACACCGATCGAGGGGCGGGAAAGCGAATCACGGCAGCAACGGGGCTTCCTCTATGCCCTAAGCGCCGAGATTGTGGGAGCGAGAGGGTCCCTTCTACCACCCATGGGGGCCATGGGGGGCGCTGAGTATTCCTGAAGGAAGAACTCAGTAACCTTTTTTATCGTGAACCGTGCCTTTAGATGCTTCACTTTGGATATCTATTTGATGCCCATGGAAATGCTCAAGTCGGACTTTGATTGATGACCAAGATATAATAGGGAAAAGAAAATTGGAAAAAAGTGTGAAGAATAATGTAGCCGACGTTTTCGTGCTCCATCATCAGAACCTAGAGAAGAATGAAGAGAAAAAAAAAGCTTGTTCTCTGGCCAAGCACTTCCTCTGGCGTTATATTTTGAAAAGATAAGCTTCTCCCCGTTTCATTGACACCCTGGAAGATACAAATGAAAGAGGACTGGAGATTTATGAATTTGCACCGAACCCAACCAAGCTCGAAAACATCATGCACAACTCCAAAAACTCGACTATTCCTATGACTGTACTCCTGGGGGCTCTGAGGGGTCCTTTATACACTCTGAAAGAAATCCATAAATTAACCAAAAATCTCCTTATTATTTTTCCTCATTTGATTTAACATGCTCTGTGATCGATGCGAGCTAGTTGTGGAAGACGCCTGGTCTTCGAATGGAATGCTCCGTGAAAGTGAGCTCTAGGAATGGCGGATTGCGAATGTTGTTTTGGGGGTTAAAAGTACTCACCTGAGCGCTATCGACACAATAGAATGTTGAAATTCATAGGACATCACACCATAACAAAAATCAAAATCGAACCGATTATCATGACGAGTTTCTGGGCACAGGCATCCGGCACGAGAAATAGCGCCAGATAAGCAAACGAATTCATAGTCGTCTCAACTCGGTCAACATCGTAGAGGCCTGACAGTAAAGTAATATATCGCAATATTTCTACATTTCATTGCTGATAATAGGTTTTTCTTTGCATAGCTGAAGGAGAAAATTTCCTGAACATAGCAGGCTAGCCGATAGCCGATTCAGCTAAACAACGCACCAGCAAAAGATCGATCAACAGGCACTTTGAGAACAATGAGACTGATACTTTCATAATTCATCGAACACGAAAAGCTTTATCCGATACAGTTTTTCCAATGAAGATCTTGTTTGTTGTGTTGCTATGTTTCTGTTTTACCCCTCCCTCACTACATCGGACAGCGGCTGCTGCCATAATGCTATTTCCATCGTATCAAAGAATCATGTAGAGAAACGCTACTGGAAATTGAAGGTTCAGCTAAGTCATGGTACAACCAGGTATACAGGCATATTCCTACACAGTCGCAGAGTCCGATGTTTTTCTCCTGCCTTTACAATACCAACGCAAACGTTGCTCTCTCATGATCTGTAAACAGGAGACTGTTCTGCTAGCATGTCCGCCCCGACGCCTTCGATACTGATCCGGTCCAGTCACATCCAACCGCAGGCAAAATTTAGTTTTCTCTGTTAAAATATTTTTTTTTGCGTGAGTTGGGGTAGGAGCTCATACATAGTTGGACATACAGTAGCGCTCAAAAGTATTCGGCGAAATACTTCTTCAGTTATAATATGCATTCGTAACTTCTTTCCTACTGGATCTAATCAAGCGAAATTTCAATATGTGTAACAGTGGTGTAGTGTGAATATTTACCACTATTAACCTGCATTTTGATCATGTTCCAAATATCCGAAGTTGTTTGAACAAAAAATCAACTGGAAATACGCATGTTGGCCTTTCCGGAATTCCGTTCCCTTTTGCCATGTCTAAAGTGTATAAGCACCAATGTCGAACCCAGAAGAGAAAAAAAAACGTACATAGGGTCGGGATAACTGCAGACGTCACAAACATGCTTTCAGCACAGTCTACAACAGCCTCCCCATTAGTATGTGGATATGGCTGCTTCACAGTCAAGTAGTGTTGGACAATGTAAAATATGCTTCAGCTAAACATATCAAAATTTCATGTGAGAAAAGTGACTCCAGTGGGAAAAAAGTAACGGCAAGTCAAAGTTGGCTGAATACTTTTGAGCGCTACTGTATATGTGCGTCTACGATGGGATTGAAGGTATAGTCGTGTTTCATGTGGTAACACACACCCACTACGACGTTTTCTTCTGCATTCGAAGAAAGCTTCCTCTTGAGTAACATTTGGTAGCGCGCATGGCCCGAGCAATGCGAGGCTTTGACAAACATCATACAGACACATATTCAAAAGAAGCCCGTATCGTCTAGTGTCACTTGAGAGAGCGCAGTTTTCCCACACTAACTCCATCCTTTCCTCAACTTCTTCCACTGTCAATACTTATGTTATTGCTCTCATCCTCTATACAGAAAAACTAGGAAAGTTAACTGTCATCAAAGAGTGGGTGATTGATAATTTTAAGCAAGTACCAGGCCAGATTTGGTTCCTGTCTGTGAGCCATCCCATCAATATTCGAGGAGATAAACCAGTTGGACTTGTGAATGTTTCGCGTTGAAAAGTAACAGAAAGGAATTCGGTTGGTGGGAGATATTAAGATGAGTTGACAGTTTCTATCGGAATTTTCATACTGACAACAGAGGAAGAACAAAAATGCATGGTGTCGTGGAAATCAGCGCAGGGCTATAGGAACATAGTTAGAAGGTCTTTCAGCAGTCTGAACATCAGATACATATGTGCTCAGCCACAAGGAAGAAAAGAAAAGCAGAAGAAATCCAGTGCAACATCCAATCAGAAGATGTTGATGCTAATGAGTGACAAGTAGGCAAACCCATGCCCTTTATCCTTTGTAAAACTGAGGAGCTGGCCACTGAAAGACGAAGCTGACTATGTAAACCCAGTGAAACACTCATTAGGCGCCCGCCAAGGTGCTTGAGATCCCGAGAAACGGAACAAACAGGACGCCAACTTTGACAACAACGACGAATATACAGAGAACGAGGGAGTAGGGACTCGCTCATAGGAGTTAAGAGAACTTCTGTTTGACAACACCCAATGAACGCAATCCATATGAAAAATCGACATCAGGGTGGAACTCCAACGACCCTTGAAATATGAGTAAGATTTCAGCTGCTTCATAATGATCGGTTGAAATAGGCGAAAGACAGCAGTGCGCATAGTGTAGGGTGTTGTCAACTGTGTGTCACATATTACACACACTACCCTCATACATTATAGAGGCCGATTAATCACAACTGGCGGCTCAGGTTGGGCAATAGATTGAAAGAGAGGGGTCAGATATCGCCAAATAAATAAGAAGACAATATAAAAAAAGTATGTGAACTAAAAGGTGGGTAATATAATAATGTAAACGATTAATCATAGGAATATGAATATCTTGGAACAAGCCATTCTTTCGAATCATATTCGCATGGGTACGGTTCTCGCAGCAAAGAATCTCAAATTTGGACGAAGCAAGAATTTGTTTTTCACCGTTTCTTGTTATAATCGAAATGAGTAACGCAGAGGTCGGGAATGTATTCTTGTTGAAGTACAAGAAAGTACTGAGCTCAGCTCTTCAAAGGCACAGTTCACAATAAAAATGGTTTCTGAGTTCCCCTCACAGGATGAATTTGAGGCCCCGCGTATACCAT